CACTGCGTTTCGTTTGTTTAACATGAACCATTGTAAAGCTCTGATCTTTTCTCACGAAGCAGATTGGGGAATTCGATTGGACACAGTTTTATGTCCAAGGTTTCATCCATATGAAATCATCCATTGATGTTTCTGATTGGTGGACATCCCACCATGCGATTTGATCCAAACGTTGGATCTTCCCCTTTCCGCTTCAGTTCCACGCTACAAAAGATTCAAGAGTTTTGCCGGTGATGGGGCAGACTGCTTTTGAAATTTCGAGCTCATTGAGAAAAGTCAGTTCTTTCAAAGAGAACCTGCTGGGTGCATCGGCTGGATTTGACTTAGAGGTCACGCGAGCCATCCAAAGCATAGCATCGATTTGTTCATCCAAAGTTTCAAAAATCAAAAGGTCTCTCCATTCATCAATGGGTGAATTTCCTTTGACTAGCACGTCAAGGACCGGCCAGCTGTCAGTGAAGCAAATGACACGTTGACCTTTGAGGATGTTTGCCCAGGTCTTAAAGGCAGTGACGGCCGCGTACAGTTCCACCAATCCTACAACATGCGTTTTGCCATCAACTTGCCACAGGTCCAGTGTGTCATTTGTGACCTTTGTTCCAAAAACAAAATTGGTATTGTTGGGGCACATGAGAACAGCTCCAATGCCTGCAATGGGTTTGCCCAGTTCGTCATATTCCAAAGCGCCGTCGGTGAACAGCAAGAAGGGTTTGGTTCTGGGACTGATGCCAATTGTTCTCGGTTTTCCATCTCTCAGTGTTTCAAAAAGAAGCATCGACGCGTCAAGGCTTCTGTTGTCCAGCACGGCTACTTTGTCTCCAGATTTTTCATGGCGTCTGAGCTCGGACAAGGCAAGACGTCCCGATCTTCCCCAAAGCTGTCCTTCGGCAAATTGAAGCTTACCAAGAGTAGTCGGCAGGTCCTTGACTACCACTTTCTTATGTTTCAAGATTCGATCCAAAATTTCACAAAGCTCGTTCGTTCGTGAAGCCTTGTTTCTCACTTTGATCGTGCCAGTTTTCACTGCCGACAAGTCGAGTTCGACTCCCAGCATTTCAGTTTTGTCTTTGAAAGGTTGCAACTTGTCTTTGCTGTATTGAAAACCCAAAATATCAAAAAGGCTGAGGGCCGTCGTCATGGTGCTGGATTCGTGCATTGCATGGCTGAGCAGCACAAAGTCGTCAAAGAAGGCTGACCAAAGTAATCCCATGTATCTGCCCACTGCTTGTAGGAAGGTGCTCACACGCAAGAAGTGATGGACGCTTGCTGCAGCTCCGAAGGGGAGCACTTTCATAACAAAACATTCAACACATTTTTTGTCTGGATTCCAAATGGTCACCACTGAATCTTTGTAGTTGTCCTCATTCAGTGGAAGTTGTTTGTATGCCGACTTGAGGTCGATGCAGGAAGTTTTGAAGTTCGGTTCAACGCTTTTCCAGGCTGGGTGAACCTCGGCGCACAAATGCTCTCCTGAGCTGAGTGTGAAATCCAAACGCCCATCAAACAGCAGAAACTTCAGGACTGTGAAGAGGGACCACAAAGTGTGGTCCATGGTCCTCAACTCCAACCGCTCGGAGCTGGCAAATGTTTTGTTCACATGGTTTTCCTTGAAATCGTCGATAGGACGAAGCTTGTCCTTTTGCAGCACGCCGAATCTTCGAACGGGCAACCAATCGCTGCCCATGTTGTCATCGATCTGGCTGGGTTGAAGAGGTCCCTCAAGCCAGTTTTTCTCTCCAGCTTCTTCCAGTGTAGTGTCATACAGTTGCTGTTGCAGCTCGTTGCCGTCACTGAGTTTTGTTCTTCCAATTATCATGGGCCTGAGATACTTGGTTCTGTCTCGCAACTGTTGTGGAGAAATCTCAGCCAGCGTGATGCCTTGTTTGAAAATGCCTGACTCTGTAACAGGTCCCACTATTTTGAACCCTTCCGCCAGTTCATCAAATAGAGCAAGGTCAGGCCATTTCATGTCAATTGCAATGGACCTCATGAGTAAAATGCGCTTTGATGCCATGATTTTTGCCACGTTGGGATTCATGTTGGACTTCAATTGAATCTCCAGATTGCTCAACGCTTTTGCACGCCTTGCCCAGTCTGTCAAGAAAGCAATGCGTCCTCTCGTTACTGCATCAGGGGCTTGGCTGAGATGTTGAAATATCACACGCACCACATCGCCAGGTAAGTTTCTTAGCTCATCATATGAATGCCACAGTTGCTTGGCAATTTGTGTAGAGGCCTCGAAAGATCTGTAAATACCAAAAACGCACAAAGTTGACCCCTTCTTGGCTTCAGTTCGTAACAGTTTGCTTCCCACAGGGATGTCTTGTAGGGGTTTGGTCAGGCAGCCTTTGTGGTCAACAGGAGGCAGGTGTTTCACCTGAATGATTTTTGTGCAGCTGTACTCTGGGATCAGCTGAGGAAGTTTGCGCCCCTTCGGTTGTTGGTAAAGGGAAAGTTTTTGAACTTCCATGGCAGTCTGTTGACTTGGCTGAATGTTCCGCTGCTTGCACAGTTCATGAAAAATTTCTGCATATTTGAGACACATGGCTCTGGGGTATTCAGCCTCAAGAGCTGTGCTGAATTGTCCGTCCGCCGCAATACCCCAGGGTTGATGTTCATGTTGACCATCACAATAGAGCTCGAGCTTGCTGAACTCACGGTGACGGCATAAAAACGATGTGAGCTTTTTCCTGGACGAACCATATGCGCAAGCATGCATGTTAACGAAAAACCCATTGGCAACAGCCCAAGTAAAATATTCAAGGTCCCACATCAGAGAATTTGTTGGATTTTCGATTGTCCAAGGGATCCCAACCTGTTGGAGTTTCTGAACGTATTCACCGCAAAATTTGTAAATTTGATTGGCCAGAAAAACTCGTTGTTGATCGCGTTGATTCAGTGTGGGGAGTCCCAAGGGGTACTCTGTGGAACGCAAAGGCTGCGGTCCTTGAGAACCGTCTGCAAGTGGTATGCCTCGGGCCCTTGAACAAGTCCCGCAAGGGGGTGCCATATGCACGCCAGCTACTAAAAACCTTTCCAATAAGAAATCCAGCATGTCCCACGCATGTTGATGCGACAAATCCAACTGAACCAATTTGCAGCGTGGAGAGTGGCGATTCTTGTCATGATCGACCGCCACAATGTTGTATCCGAATTGTTTGACAGCGTCTGATAGTTTTGCGCTGCCTGCACATAATTCCACAAAAACGGGTGTTTTGGATCCCTCAGGGATCTGTAAATCATTCAACAAGCCAGCAAAAACGTCGCTCTGCTCACAGTTTTGACTCTGCAAAGGATCCGTGGCTGGCTCTTCCACATGTTCGCAAAAACTTGAATTCTGTCGAGTTGCCTCCATCTCGATGTCGATCTGTTGACCTCCTAGTCACTCCCGCTTTGCGCGAGAACATTCAACTGCTGGGTGCTGTCCATGGCAACCTTTGACCGCACAAGCATGAAGACCCTTTGAACACCTTTGTTTGTCCACAGTGTTGCTGCATGTTTTCAAGTTGTATGAAAAGCACAGTCTGTGTCCCTTTGGTGTCGCAGCCACTGATCCCAACACTAGCAGTTCTTTGGGAATGCGCACAAACGAATCGACATTTCCTTGAGGCTTTCCAAAACCCTTGCCACGTGACTTTCCAGCGCCCTTGAACCTTTTGTTGGGTCTTTCGCCTTCTGGATGAGCTTCAGCTGGTCTGGGTCCTGCACTGATACCTCCAGGTCGTGGTTGTAACAACGACATCACCTCTGAACTTTCCATGCACTCTTTGAAGACATCGTCAACTGGGCGTCCTTTGGCGTTGCACTTGATGCCCTCCCTCGTCTTTTCACTAATGAGGAGAAACAGTTTTCTATCAGCGGACTCCAGTTGTTTCATAGTGGTTTTGATGTAACTCGGTGGAGGCTCATCCAAACGTGATTGCATCATCTTCTCTGACCATGATTCCATGTTTTTGAAACTGACTATGTTGGCTTGTTCCAAGGCCAGCGCTCTCCGAGTCAAGCAATAACGAACCTGAATTTCTGTGGCAGTGTTGCAAGGCTCGACACGATACTGCTTGTGGAGCTTGAGGACACCTGTCGAGTCGAAGGTCAGGGTTTGGTCTTTCTTCGATCCTTGCAATATTTCATGTTCTCGGCTGGTGCAAACATCCCATGGTATGAATTGAATGCGGTCAGCATCATACATTGCTATGCATCGATCTACTAATGCATCTCCAGGCTCGTAGGGTCCTGAAATGTTGACACCTGACAGGCGCTGCTGTTGCAAACGCAAACGTTCTGCTCTTTCTGCTGGTGCAAGTCTACGGGTTGGCATGTCATCCGTTGCCTCAACAGAATTTTTGATGTCTGCAGCAACATTGGCATAGCTTTCACTGAAAAGGCGTCTAACACATGACATCTCTACTGTTGAAGGTGCACGTTTCATTATCTCCTTTGCCAGCTGGATCAGGGGCGCCTCATCTGCACTTCCAGGTGAAAAGTGACATGCAAATGCAAATTTTGCCATGGTGTCCAGTCCATGATTGGTGATATTTGTTCTATCACCTCTGACTCAAATCCAATCTCCTCGCATCGCCTTTTGAAGACCGCTTTGCTGTCACCATAGCTCATGCTGGGCAAAGGCAGTTACTACAACTACAATCCAAAGAATTAAGGGTCCCTTTATTGACGAGAAGATTTTGGGAGGTTTGCATATTATCATTTGTGATTAAGATGAATGGTTATTGTGAAAGAATTTCATCACAGGAACTTCCTGAGTATTAACATGCTCATGCGAACATGAACGCAACCTCATCGCAAGCTTGAGCATTGCGCTGGGAGGTTTTCACTATGAACTCAAACTTTGAGTTCCGTTTGATTGACCGTTCAAACACTGTGTTGAACTACATCGATCACACACATTGGCACTGCAACTTGCGCATGCCATACATGTTCAATTTCACTGATGGCAGTGGAACACCTCCCTGCCCTTTTTTTCCATACATGCTCGGTCAAGCTCAGGTGGCCCGATCTTTGAAGCAAAGTTGGCAAGCCGGATGGCAAAAGGAAGGTTTGGGCTCCAGCACATCGTATGATGCGGACATCTTCCTGCCGCAAACAAATTCCAGCCCAGCCTCGTCGGCCATGATGTGGATGCACCGGGAAATTCGGTGGCGCACAAAGACACTTTCTTCCGAAGGTGGCTCGGCCAAGGGTTGCCATTTTCCAAGCACCTTTTCGCAAGCCAATTCTTCTCCTTCGGGATGGACCTCTTCTTCGTTTTCGGATCCAGAAGATGAGGATTCACTCAACTCTTCTTCTTCTGCAACTTCATAACCTGGTTCTCTGTTGGGAAAACGCCCCGATCTGGAGCAGTCAGGCAGAAAGGTTCGCTCCTTCACCGCTTGTATCATTTCGCACATCTGACGCAGCGGCTCCGCCATGCTGTCCCTGGAGTAGCACAGCATGCTCTGCTCCTTGCTGCCTGCGTGATATCCCAAGAGCTTTCGCTGGGAATGTGGCATTCCAAACTTTGCACACATCGACAACAAGCTAGCCTTGAGGCTATGAGTCCCAATGGGAGTTCCCTGCTGTTCCCCGGTGCCCTGAAGGAGGCTGCGTAGCCAATTGGCCCCTAACGTAACCGTCAATGGCATTTTGGTCCAGGAACCGTTGGCAGTTGGTGAGGGCAAGAGAGGGATGAACTCCTCCTTGCTGTTGGAGGCATCTCCAAAGGCTTTCTTCCGAAGCTCCAACCACGTAGGCAGCCATTGCTTGGCACCGAAAGCCATGAGAGGAACGGCAACTGGAAGGTGACGTGTTTTCCTTTCCAAGCTGACAGAGGTCTTGGTTTTGGCTGCCACTGCCTCCACAAAACCAAAGCCATCAGGTTGTTGATCCAGCTTGAGTTGGCACACCTGTTGCCCATCGCTAAATCTGAGCCTGCCCATCAAAATGAAAAGAAAGAATCCGCCAGCCAGTCGATCAAATTCGGTCCTGCGACCATCCAAAACTATGTTTTCAAGGTGTTCAATCTGATCCACTGACAAGGGCGGCCTCTGTGTCAGGTTTCTTTTCTTGGAGTACATGGTGTTTGCCAAGCCACGAATGCGTCCAGAGCTCATGATGGACAGCGTCCCAGTGAGTCCAAAATGAAAATTTGTAAAACTCAAAGCCAAGAGAAAGGACCTGGCATAGGTTGCAGCCTTCGTTTCACATGACTTGACGTAGTCATAAACCACTGGTTCAATCAATGGGAAGGCCTGTAACCCTCTGTCTTCACAAAACTGAATGTACTGCAAAATAGGCCCTGCCCTCGCATGAAGCGTCGATGAAGCCTTGGTGCCCAACGAGTCTTTCACCGACTCCAATAGGCCTCCACGCGCGAATTCCATGGTGTGACAAGTAGCCTGTTGTCTGGCAATGTCAAAGGCTCCAACCTGTCTCAAGATGATGCTGACACATTTTTTGTAAGCACACTTGCGCTCCCATGACAATTTGTCTGACCACAAACGATCGTCAGCATGTTTGGCAGCTTTGACTCCTATCTGTTTAAAGGAAAGAATCTCAGTTGCAACACACTCTGAGTGACAAACCTTTGCAGTAACTGGCACGGGAGGCAATGGTCCATGCAAGTCAATCTTATTGGTCCTGAGCCTTTTGCATGCGTCCCATGGAGTGTTCATCGCAAGCTCCCAAGGCATTTTGAAAGTTGAATTGCGATTTGCAGTCCAAATATGTCTGATATGTTGTTCATAACATGAAGAGCTCACTGCAGGTGTAGTTGTGTCAAAACCCCCATTCCGCTTCAGCCTGTCGGTACCTGAGGTGGTCATGTCAATGTTGCACAGGTGGATCAAGTCTGGCCTGTACCGAGACTCCAAAGGGATCATGGCAGAACACCTGAGAGAATTGACAAGAAACAACAGGGATCCCCAAATGATCAATCACCAAAACTTATGATGTTGGTATTTTTGACCTCATCCAACGTACTATGGAATCCTAGGTGCTGGCTCCGTACCGTGTTCTTGTCATCAGCAATCTCCTTCAAAAGCCTTAGCCATTTACCCAACATCCACATGTACGAACCCTCATGTTTCATATTGCATGTACTGTATCAACCATTTATTTATTGGCACCAGAAGTCCGCACCAAACTAGGCGGTGTCCCAAATGATCGGTACACCATATACAGCAAATACGGTCCATCTTTGTCACCATGGATGGTTTCACCTCCGTATCGGATGTTCTTGGAGCCGGATTGTCCTGAGCATGGATGAGATGCGAGGTTATGGCTATAATGTTTACACAAGGAAAAACATAGCAGGCATTTTCATTGAAACAATATATAATTGTAAATGTGAAATCCTGCAATCAAGAATCCCTTGGGGCGTTATATACAAACATTGGCCCTCCCAAGAATACAAGCTTGCTTTGAACTGATTGAGGGTGATCCCAAGCTATTCTATATACCCAAGAAAGCTAGCCAAATCTTGAATCCACTTGAAACATTGCTATACGCACTGTGCACACTTCCAGTTCAACAATTTGAACCTGGAGTCGCCTGGCACGTGCTCGGCGCAAGATGATGTACTCTTCCTGATTGTCAGAGAGTTCAACCGCCCATCCAAAACAAGCGACACGCAAATGAGAAATGGAAATCAGGTCCAAAAATGCGTAAACCACCAGATTCTGTTCAAGACCACCCAATTGCCAGCAAATTGTGGGAATAACCCTGAGAGTTGACCAATTGTCCCACCTGACAAGGTCGAGGTTGTTGTGGACGTCCACAGGTTGCCAGGCAATGTGATATCGGATGACAGGGTCAAATGAGGGATCCATACAAGAGCCACGCGAAACACACTGTGAAGCCAATGCCAAAGCAAACACTACCCCAGCACAAAACCTTTGCAGTCCAAAAACGATGGTGAATCTGAATTGCAGTCTGAAATGCCTCACAGCCTTTCTCAGTAATCGACGCGGCCCGAAATCGAGCTACCATAAAAAAATGAAAATTCTACACCCACAATTTTGTGAGCTTCCCGCCCACCCACCACATGCTTGAAGGGAAATGTCACACGAAATAAATCTCATTGATTTCTTTTTTTTGAATGCACAACACTTGAGGAATGCAACATGCATTGTAAGTGAAACATTGAACAACATGTTCATGAGACATGTTCGACCGTTGTTTTATTTAAAACATTTTTTTTTGAAGAGACGCTCTTTCATCGCTGTCCATTAGACTATAAACAAATATCAGCAAGCTGACATAAAGCTTGCGAACGGTTGCGAACGGTTGGGCGACGTCGACCCCCAGACCCCCAGAGTGAAACGGGACCCTTGCTACGCATTCGGGAAAATAAAAAACAAGCCAAGCACAACTGTAAACGCAAGCAAGCCAAGTCCAGGGTGTGCTGTTTCATCCACACCCACACTGTTGCATCCCTTCAACTGGACCAAACTCAAGACGCTCAGAACTGAGCGAGCTCTGCTTTTTGCAGTAGATGCGCCCAGGTCATCTGATCCCTCAACCAAGCCAGTTGACATGCATAGCCGTCAGTGACCGGAACCTGGATGATGGCAAACGCTTGGTTCCTTTTTCTGTGGTTTGCAGGACCAGCTACGCAAGCAAGTTTGATGGTTCCATTCCAAGCTTTGTAGCCACAAGATTCTGCAGGAAAGGTGCTTCACACGTCCAACATCTTGACGCTGGAGGATACCTCCAGCTCCTGAACTGTCGGAGTGGAGGTGCATGGTGCATGTGAATCCTGTCATCCATTCGACAAGTCTGCATAGCATGCAAGAACCATCAGAAGTTCCACTGGAACATGCGTAGACCTCTGCCTCCGCCCCTGACAAGGAGACTAGTTTCTGTGTCTTGAACATGAGAAAGAAGACATCCAGCAAGAAATGTTGCAGCGGCAAAGACGGTTACATAGACTTTTTTTCCTCCGTCCAACGCCTTCATGGCTTCCGCCAGGTCGTTCAACATGTTTGAGAGCATGTTGCAATTGGGATTAATTATTTAACAAAAGCATGCGTAGGCCGTTCCTGTAGGGTGGCCGCAAAAGTAGCTGGTGGAGGACCGATACATAGTCCTATATGCTGTCACGATCATCCAGAACACAAACCAAAACAAAGCAAGCAAAAACACAAACGAAAACCACCCCAAACAAAAACAAACAGAAACACAAAAACAAACAAAACCAAAACCAAAGCAAACACCAAGCAATGACGTGACAGGTACACGTTTTGGGTGAAAAAGATGGATTAAAGCAAGAGGTGATAGCTTAGTATCATCTCAATTCATGCATGATGACAGCTTTGTGCCATGATAGAAATGGCCCCAAACAGAAAACAAGAACAAAGACACACGACAAGAGCAACAGGGGCCAATTCAGCGGGTGCAAGAAGCAACAAAGCTCAGTGCCGAAACCAGGGATCCCCCCAGCCAGGATCCCCGAGATCACAAAGAGCAGCCATTCCGGCATGACATACACCCTGACACTTGAAGCAAACACCGACAACGCCGGGTCGCAACGAAAGTGGTGAGAAGAGCTACCGCAGTGAAACAGGAGAGTGAAACATGGTCTAGTGTGAAAATGACAGCAAAACTAAGGCACTCAGGGCGCGCTCAGAGTCCGCTCAGTTGTCCTTTTTCTAGCATCAGCATCACACATGCGGTTGTGAGAAGCACCACTGTGCTAGTGCTCCTGCAAGTAATCTTCATGGTATGGAAGATTGTGCTCATCATCCGTACGTGGTGATATCTGTGCATTGAGCTCTTCCAATGACGTGCTAGCTCCTTTGGCTGTATGATCCAGCAACAGTATGGCCTTTTGCGCTTGGGTGACTTCGTAGCTGGCGGAGATTGTACAACTATCTAATATACAGCCAATTTGGCGGAGTTGGCGTATGGCAGCTTCCAGGTCAGTAACCCTCTGGGATGGGATATTCTGGATGCCTTGAAGCTTCTGAGATGCCTTGGTCAGCAGGTTCGTGGCAGCTTCTACTTCACTGGTAGTGACCTGGCACAGGGTCAGTTGAGTAATTGACTTGGCGAGGCGATGGACAGCAGCGTCTTTGACAGGAGTCTGACGATCCATACTGCAAGGTCAAATTGCATGCAAGGTATTCTGCAAGTGGAGGGCCGTTGGGCGTTCAGTTCATCAATCGCAGTGCTGCAACCTTGTCGAGGACAGACATGAGGACGTCTGGTGGAATTCATTTGGCCGATCGGTGTGTTGGTTAAACGAAGGTCAAACGGCAACGGGCACCATGGCTTGATGTACTTTGACATCATCCTACGCTACCATAAAACACCCTACAGTAAGTAAAGGCCCCCTAAAAAGGTTAGTATAATCACCCCCCACCTCCTCCCTTCCCCTATTGACACAGGCAAGCTTATCACAGCATTAGCTACAATGGACAGCGGTCAACCATGGGTACCCCATGGTGACAAAAACCTCTCAACCACGGTCTGAGCAATGGCGAATGTCATGCATGGCAACCGTGGGCACCCCACGTTAGCCCTAGTAGCTTACTGAAACTGCACGGACTGACTAGTGCAGGGTTTATCACGGCTACCGGTGCTACTGGATGCAGTGTTTGCAGGGGGTGGGTCACTGCTTTCGGTTTGTTTCATCATTTGGGCAATAAGTGGATGGCTTTGTTTTTCGCGCAGGATCCTGGTCATTTCGCGGGTGAAGGCTGCAGGGTCATCAACTAGTGCCTTTGCTTCCGCTAGTGGCTTATCGAGGACAATGGCGATGAGCATTTCTCCACCATCTTTCTGGATCAGGGCTGGTCGGCCGGCTTGCACCTCTGCAAGGATTGCCACTGCTTTGTTTTCGCACAGGGTGCGTTCCCATTCCTCTAGGGCTCTTTGAGCTAAGGTATCAGTTTGCGGTGAGGCCCTGTGAGCTGCCGATGTCCCTAACGCGCGTATGAAGGGGCTGTCAGGTAGCGTGGGAGATGGTAGATGTTTGATAGCCGCTACTGCACGCAAAATGTCACTCGCTTTGATTTCATACGAAGGGGACGTTTTCTTTCCAATGGCAAGCTCAGAATCAGCCCATAGTTGCTGCAGCGTGTATCCTGGTTTTGGTTCCATATACCTTCTGTTCCATACTGCATGGTGGGACCATTGGGGTGCGTCATGGTTGATTTCGACTGAGTCTCGTTTCATGTCATATTCCTTTAACATATCATCTAGTTCTTGTTGGGTCGATGTTCGATGAATACAGCATTGTCTGACGGCACCATCTATGTGCAGTGGCCATCCTACGGGCATGTGGGAGTCCTCAAGGAGTCCATCCCCATTCTGCTCGATGATTGTGCCCAGCATAGGGACATCGATTGTTGCCTTCAGGCTAACCTGTGCGCGTTTACAC